TGGGGGGGGGGGGGGGGGGGCAGGTAAGGAGCCTGGCAGACCCCAGGCAGAGTGCTCAGTGCAGACATGGTGAGCCAGGCCCCGCCCGCACAGGGCACAGGTCAAGGCCATCCCCCCAGCTCTGGTTGGAGTCTGCTGTTGGCTTCACAGCTCCCCCTTCCTGCCTCCTCGGGGTCTGAACCAGCTGCCCGGTCCTTGGCGAGCTGGGAGGGGCTGGCTTCTTCAGAAAAGTGAAGGTGTGCCTGGTGTCCATCTCCCGGCAGGTCAGGCACATCCGCAAGTTCCTCAGGAAGATCGACAAGCCATTCGGCCTCTACCCCAACTTCATCAGTCCAGTGAGTGGGAACTGGATACAACGTGAGTACAGAGACACGGCCCCGTCCTTAGCGGGTTCCTGGCCAGCTTCCCGGCGAGGCCCCTGCAGGGCACAGACCAGAGTCACTCGCTCAGTGCTCCTGGGTGCCCCGCCCACCGGGCAGCTGGGGGAGCTTTCACTATGGTTGTCATTGCTGTGGCAACGCCCTGCACGTCCCCCTCACGCCAGCTGTCTCCAGCCTCCATCAGGGCTACACCCTCCATCTCTGTGCCCGCTGACGCCTCCATCATCCCTCACCCTTCCGGCATTGCTTAGCCCCTTCGATTTTAGATTTAAAACTTAAGTAGGTGGGAGGTAGGGGGGTAAGAGATCAACCAAAGGACTTGTATGCATGCATATAAGCCTAACCAATGGACATAAGACACTGGAAAACTTAAGTAGAACCTACCTAAATCAGCGATATAGAAACGACGAGTCCACTGCAGTGTCCTACACGTGCCAGAGCAGGTCCCAGGCTTCCTGCTGTTCTCCGTGCAGAGGCTTCTCAGCCAGAGATGTTGGTCACCTGGTCACCTGGGAGCCTTGTTCACAGCCCCCAGCTTCACCTGCTGAGACAAAATGGGTCTTGGGGGGACACTCAGGCGAGAGTGTTGAAAAGTCTCCAGGCCCCTGGCACTGCCCCTGCTGAGAAGTTCTGCTCCACCTTGCCCTCCTGACCAAGGCCCCAGTCGTGTCTTGTGGTCATCGCACAAACTGGTGGCAGCAGGTTCCATGGGCCCTGCTCAAGGGCCTCCCCAGAGCCCACACCTCACTGCCTCTGCCCAAACAAGGGCCCCTCTCCCTCTCCCACCCCCTCTAGCCCCAGCTGTTAGGGCATCAGCCGGGGCTGGCGTCAAAGGAGACATGGATCTGATTACTGCATGGCTGGGGGGGCGGGGGTCATTTTATCTCTTTGAGCCTTGGTTTCCTCTCCTGAAAAATGGGAGAAGAACTGGAGAAATGTTCTTTGTGTGCTGTGGAGGGGGTTGGAGTAATGGCCAAAAGCTGCAGGAAACAGATTTCAGTTCATCTGCTGGAGACGGGCCCATGAGTAACAGTATGCAGGCAGGGCCTGTCCTTCCAGCCCCAGCCTCCCTGATCGCCGGTCTCGAGGCCCAGGAAGTTGGACCCAGGACATTTCCCTGGTGATGACCTCACTCCCAAGTGGCCTCCTGCGAAAACCACTTCTAGAAACGCACAGTATTTTTAACCAAGCATGCTATGAAATCCCAAAGTGCAGGAGAAAATGAAGGGTTGAATAAAGATTATGGCCACAGGAAGAGACCGTTCAGTAACTGTTACTGCTTTTAATTGCAAGGCCTGACTGGACAGAGATAAACTGCCCGGCTGCTGGCCTCCGCTGCTCCAGGACGACGCAGCAAAGCCCACAAAAGGAGAGGGTGTGGCTTCCAGCTGGCAGCCACCTTGGCAATTACCGGGGAGCCCCCACCGAGAAGCATCATTTTATTTTCAGGCTGCGCCAGGGGTCACAGGGCTGGGCCAAGTCGGTCACGTGTGAAAATTTGTTTCATATTAATAAAATATGAATCCACAGCCTGCTAAAGAGCAGCGGGGGTTACATCTGGCGCCGGCTTCCTCCTCCCCGGGCTCTGGCGCCTGGGGTCATCTCAGGTTTTCATCAGGGTGTTTTTTTTGTGATTGTGTGTTTTTCCAGATGATAACATTCCCCACTTGCATAAGCTAAGTGTGTTCACATTCTTTTTTTCTCCTTGAATCCTCTGTGTAGCCGCTTTGCAACCGTAGAAATTGTAGCTTAGAGAGGCAAAGGAGGAACTGGGGTGCTCTTGGCAGCTCCCCACTCCTGCTTGGAGCTGAGCTTCAGGGAAACAGGGGAGACCAAGACCTCTGGCTGCTAGGATCTCAGCCGGAGAAGCCACCAGGCTCCTGCTGGCACCCATCACGGATGAGAGCTCAGAGAGCTGCCAGCCCTGGAGGGCTCGGCCTCCTTGTCCACTGCCTGAACCCCACTCTCTCCTCGGTGGGAAGGCAGTGGCAGGTCTAGATTCTTCCGAAAGGGAGCGCGAGCCCGGCGGCCTCCCCACTGCGTGCTGTCTTCTGCCGGCAGGTTCCCGGCTTGTTGGGTGCTGCTTCTTGCTGCCCAGATGATGAGATGTGATGTGACGAGAGGTTGGCATGGTCAGGAAGCAGCAGAACCCACCTCTGCTCTAAGGCTTGTCGACACCAACCGGGCTCCCCTTTGAAAAGCATTTTACTGGAGAAGACAGGACTGGCAGGGGAAATGGCTTGACCGGAGCTAAGAGCAGATCCGGCCTCTGATTCCCACCCAGGCCTAGGCTTCCCCCAGTGCACACCCAGCACCGAGGCGACACCACACGCACACACGCACACACGCACGCACGCACATGCATGCACGCACACACGCACGCACACGCACGCACACATGCACACACACGCACACGGCAGCTAGAAAGCAGTGGGACCTCCAAGTGAGAACTGTCCACTTCAATCAAGGTCCCCTGAGAGACTATACACACCTCCCCACGTGGGTGTCCGGTCTCGGTCGCCTGTGGAGTCCTGGCGACGCGGCTCCCCTCTCCTGCACACACCGGCCAGGTGAAGCCTGCTCCACAACACACGTGATGAAATCCAAACTCTTTGGCTTGGCATCTGAGGCCCTTTCCAGCACAGCTCAAACCTACCTTCCTTTCATTCATTCAGGGTGGCTGCTGTGTGCAGCAAAGGTCCTGAACATAAAATGTGCATCCTACACAGCCCTCTCCACAAAGAGCCCACAGCCTAGTCCGGGAGGCAGACCCCAAACAGGTTCTGACAGCATCAGGCACGCCCCCAGCAACGGGAGGGTAGCCCCCACTGGGTGCTCGCCTGGGCCAGGCCGTGTGTGTGTGCGTGTGTGTGTGTGTGTGTGTCTCACTCTCCCGCATGGTCACCCTGCAGGGAGGTGGGGTGGGTCATGCGAGCCCTAGGGAAAGCCTTTCTGAGGGGAGGAAGCTGAGGTGTCCAGTGAGGAAGCCCAGCCATACAAGGTGAGAGATGGCATGGAAGGTCGGGGGCTGGAGGTTGGGGGTGGAGAAACAGTGAGGGGAGGCAGGGCCAGGAGATGAGTGTGGAGATGGCAGTGCCCTGGCTGCCACCTGTGAGCCAGGGCTCTCTGTGGGCTGTGAGCTTCAGCGGCTCGAGGCAGAGGCTGACTCAGTTTGCTTACAGCCTTCCCCCCGTCCCTGCTCCACACAGACCTCCTACTCCAACAGGGACATGCCATCGACACCCCCCGCCCGCCCTTTTTGTGCCCTCCACCTAGGAATAGGGTGAGGGGTGTGCTGAGCTGGTTCTCTTCCCTCTTCACTGGCAAAGTCCAGCCCACACCCACCCCCTCCCACTCCTCAAGGCTTAGGCTTTATCTGGTTGGTTCCAGTTTTTTCGAGTGTTTGTTCCAGTCCTGAAACCTCCCTGGCCAGGATCTGTTTGTGGAGGGGCCGAGGGCTGGTTTACTGTGGGGGCCTCCTCTCAGCCCCTTCCCCCGGCCTGGCTGCCTTCACCCTCTGGTCCTTCTCTGTGCCCTGTCCTTTCTCGGTGCCTCTTTGGTTTCGTCCTCTGGTTGACGGTGTGAAGCTGCAGAGTGAGAGCTGCCAGCTTGGTGGCCTTGGGTGAGCGGTTTAGGCTCGCTCTCCATTTTCCTATCTGGTAAATGGGGTTGATAATGCTCACCTTGCAAGGTTCTGGGGAAGATGTTATAAATAATACAACAAGCCCTGGCTGGTTTGGCTCAGTGGATAGAGCATCGGCCTGCAGACTGAGGGGTCCCATGTTTGATTCCAGTCAAAGGCATGTACCTTGGTTGTGGGCACATCCCCAGTAGGAGGTGTGCAGGAGGCAGCTGA